CGATCATTTTGTTTGTTTACAAACTGCTGAACAACGAATGTTTTCTCATCGGAGAAAACTTAATTCGGCAGTTCACCACTTTCGGTCAAGCGAATCAACTCTTTAGCTCTTTTGAGTCTCTTTTTGGAATTTTAATGGCATTACCGCGAGCTCATTTTTCAATATTTGCCGAATGGAATATTGCGATATGTTCAGCTCACGAGCCATTTTTCAGCCACTGCGACGTGGGTTTCGATCAAGTCGCTTCTTTACTTTTCGAACAATTTCTACTGATGTTGCTGTTTTCTTCCGTCCACTTTCTTGAATTCGGGCTACGCTACCAGTATCACGGTAATGAGCGATGCTACGAGACATAAAAGATATATTCACATTTAAATACTGGAGTGCTCTAACGATAGCCACTTGTGGGTTTCCAGCCAAATATAAAGAAATCATACTATCACGCTTGAATTCCATAACGAATAACTTTTTTTCTTGAAATTTCTTTTTCTCAAAATGCTTTTGTACGCTTGTAAACAATTTAATGAGCTGTCACTGGAATAATTTTCACAGCTGTCGAACGAGTGGCTTAGAAATGACAGCAGTCTGAAGTTGGTTGCAGTTTTTTCATCTCATCCTGTATTCATCTCGGTGAAAAAGTAATAAAATCCAAATTCTTTTGCGTAAATCGTTCTGAGTATGTGGATCCCCGACAGCAACAATGAGACAATAGAAAATAGTTCGCATTCTTTTTTTCGAATAATTCAATTAATTTTCTATTTCAAAACAACAACAACAACAGCAACAACAAAACAAAGAACTACATTGATTTGGAAAGAGTAATGATATTCTTTGTTTCTGTTTTTCTAATTAAGTAACTAATTCTATGAATTTAATTTTTGGAATGCCTTTTGTGTTTTATGAAGTGTCAGCCAACACGTGGGGATCGCCAACACGCATCTCTTCGACACTTCTCTATGCATAGACGTACATATTCAGAAAGTTGATTGTTCCGAACCATAATAATTGCCAAATTTCACTTGCGAAATTAGGTGAAGCGAATTTGTTTACCTATACAAATTGAATCATTTGCATATAATTTTCGAAAAAAAGTGTGTATTAGAGTGGGTCGTTAAAGGTATAAGATTCAATATAGATTTTGCATAATTCGAAAAATTTGGGTTGTTTTAGTTTTTGATTGAGAGTTCTCAAATCCATTGGCGGCCGAAAAATGTAATTTTCCTTGTTTTGTTTTCCCCTTTGTTTGTTAATTCTTAATTCCAATTGTATTATTTATGGCGCCCAGAACTTTAATTCTTCCTTCAATTCTAAGTGACAGATTCTTGTGGTAATCGATTTATATGTATCAACTATGTTTGCCCTTACGACACTTTGAGCGCCATAATCGAATTTCATTCACAACAAGACATTTGTCATTATAGTCTACATCTTATGTGACAAATTCTCAAAATGATAGACAATAATTAATGAATTGCGATATATTTCGACGGGATTATGTTTAAATCTGCCTGTTATATTTTTCAGATGCAATTGTTTGATATATAAGAGGTAATAAAAGTCGAGGACTGCGACATATATGTTAGGTAAAATGTTACTCTAAAGTGGAGCACGAAACTGACAGTTTTGCAATCATGATATTGGTAGCAAATATTGCATAGCTGTCAGTTTCGTCTGCTATCTATAATAAAGAGTAATAAGAAGAGAAAATACTCTAGACTTAATACGTTGGGCGCCAAAATTTCATACCCGGTGTGGAAATTTTATATTATTTGTTCGGATATAAAGGTAATTGAAACACCCTTTACAAATACAGAGAGGATGTTAAATTTCATTGTCTAGTTTAGGTTAGTCTAATTTTCGGGTTTTCTAAAATAATAAATATACTTTAAATTATTCGTCCTTCCGGAATAATTCTTCCTAATATAAACGTACTTTAAAAGTATCCGTTCTGTAATCTAAACAATTATCATATGCGGTTACTTTGCGTTGGGCGCCAAATTTTAATGTATTTTAATGTATGTATTATTTTGGAAATTCGTACTGAAAAGGGTACGAAAAGTACTAAAATCTGTTAAAAATAGAATACTAGTAAGTACATTATACAATTTGATACTGGGTGAACAGATAAAGCTTGAAATCTGAAATTTGGTATTGGGGTCACTGCTTATGTGTAACCTGGTCATATGGATGTGGTTTCGGAAATGTGTACTAAAATTGTACGAAAAGTACTAATAGGTACTTGGTATTAAGTGAAGGGACAGAGATAACATTTTTAAATTTGATATTGGCTTGAGATTTGGCGGTGGTTAGGAAATGCTTTTGTGCGAAAAAGTACTAAATGGAACTTAATTTGGTATTGATTAAAATTTGATATTGAGACCTCTGTTGGGTTCTTGTATTGAGATATGGAGGGGATTTTGGAAATGGGTACTATAATTGTACGAAAAGTACAATATTGGGTATTGGGTTAAGGTATAGAGCTGAAATTCTGATATTTGATATAGATGTCACTGTTGGTGTCTGTGGTTGAGATATGGAGGTTGTTTTGGGAATGTGTACTATAATTGTACGAAAAGTACTGAAGTACATGAGACTAACTTTGGAACACTTTTGAATGGAAAAATGTTGATTGTGTTGGACATGCGTACTAAGTGGTACTAAATTTGTTATTGGGTGAAAAGATTAAACTGGAATCACGAAATTTGACTGTTGGTTTGTAGGGTTTACTTATGGTGGCTTTGAAATTGTTTTAGACATAAAAATTGGATGTGGGACAATAGTGCAATGATTTTACTAATATCCTCCTCATTTAAATTCAAAGTGAACGATTGTTTTTACTCTTTTCGAAAAAGGAAAAAACCTGAAAAATGTATGAAACCTTAAAAGTTTGAAGTACGATGTATGCAAATGAGTTAGTTGTCTACCTACTTCGGTTTTATGTTGGTCAATTATGATTCGACTTCAAGTTGGGCGCCACTATTTTCAGCGGTCGTCTAATTTAATATTCCTTAAAAGATTTCCATCACTGTCAAAACCTTATTTTACTAGAATTGTTGAATTATTTGTTATTATCATCCTGTTTACAGATTAAGTTATAAATATTTAATACCAAATCTTCTAACTTAGCTCCAATGTCGGACTCCATTTAAAATTAATATTGTATTCCATAATGTAAAGGTCTGGATACCTATGTCTTCGTATGACATATTTCGTGATATATCAGAAAGGGACGTCAGAGCAGAGTCGAATCCTGCCGTCGTTTACCCTTATAAAAGTTTAGGTCGTATTATAGAAATCTCGCTGATCATTTTGTTGCAAAATAGCCCAACTCCTGCATTAAACTTATTTATTGCTTGTCGATGCGGCTTTACACAACCAAACAGAAGACTTCTGTTTATGAAATGTATGGAACGATTTGTCAGATGATAACAAGCTTGACAAATATTCCATCATCGTGTTTCTGTCGGAAGCACTTGTTATTTGACTAGGTTTACGAAAAATATTTCATATAGGTCATAATTTCTGACAAAACATCTATGACCATCCCTTAGGAATTTGTAAAATATGGTTGTTTTTCATGTTTAATTGCCATAAGAAAATTGGATTTTGGTTTTTGAGACTGCCGAGATACAGGAATACCAAGCCACTTTAAGGTTTGGTTTTCTTCTTTTTACTGGAGGTTTCATTTCAGATATTCAATTATATACATTCAGCTTTCACGTTGGGCGCCATTTCAAATTGTATCCGCAGCTAAATATCCAATTTTATCCAATTGTTATTATCGCTTTTTCTGTATTTCCGGCATGGCAACCCTTTCTGAAGATTTGAAATTCTTTCAACCACCCTTTATTTTTCGTTTCTTTTGCGGTCCTTTCCCCAAAGTAGCTTGAACCTCCCCAAAGTTCTATATCAGAAGTCACTTAAAATATTTTGCTTGTTCTTTTATCATCCTGAATAATTTCTCTTCTGATATTGAAGCTTAATCTAAATAATAATATAGATAGATCTGAGCCAGTTCTCATCCTCAGCCAGCTGCAAACCGCGTTTCAGCTTATACAGAATAGCCCTACTTCTCACTTCCAGGTCAAGCGGCACGGCGCCAAGCAGCACCTGCAGTGCATCAGTGGACACAGTCCTATACACAGGCAAACACGCTTACATGACGACCCGCTGACACGACAGGATCTTTTTCTGACCCAACACAGACGCACCGGTTTTGTAACACACAGGAGCCCCATAAGTTGCACAAGCAACAAACAGGCCGCCATATATGACACACACGGAACGCCTGCTCAAGCCCTATTCAGTCCGCAAAACACGCCTGACCATTCCCACCACTCTAGTTCCATTAAGTTCCATATTGGGCGCCATTTATAGGATTGGTTGATTCCAATTGTGTCTTCCCCTTAGATCGCCAGCTTTTTCTTTTTAGATAATAATGTTAGCCGTCACGTATAGGCGTGGGTATGGTGTCATTATTTTCCACATAATTGCGTTACAGTCCTTGCTTTCTGTAGACCTTTAATTGCAGTTATTTTATATTTGAACTTCAAAAAATGATTCCACGTTGGGCGCCATTTTTAATTTCAGTTACACTCGATTTTTTAATAATTACTAAATTTGTCATTATTTGGCGTTGCTTTCCAGATTCCAGGTAGATTGGTGTCATTGTTTTCCACAAAACTTCATTACTGACTGTGGACATTCAATTACAGGAATTTAATATCTGAACTTTAAACTTAGGTTCCACGTTGGGCGCCATTTAAATTTTTTATTACTACCGCTATTTTTAATAATTATTAAATTGTTCATTTTTATGTGTGGCTTTCCATAGGAGGTTTGAATTATTTCTAGTGTCTTCTTTCCTCTTTTCCTTTCAAAATTCTGGAATATCAATCTCTTCCTAAAGATTTGAAATTTATTCCTCCAAAAATAAAATATATTTCAAACAACTTTTATTTTAATTTTAATTAATAATAATACTTATTTCAAATTTTTAGGCCAAACTACATGCCACACCACCGCCGCCTCCACCAGATCATACATCACTCCAAAGGGAAATTCGATCGACCAAAAGCGTTTATATTCCCAGGTAAAGTTGAAGCACAAGTTATTCTTCAAAAATCAAATAATAATTCCTTTTTCGATTCCACAGATTCTATTTCCCCCATGGCAAACCCCAGCCCACAATTGCTTTGGAGCGAACATTGCGTGGCATTTTGGCAGCGTTCGATACATTTCCCAATAATCAGGTGACACGCGATGAACTGCCACGTATTTTGAAGATTTGTGGACTGCCATTCTATTGGCGTATGCCGGTGATGGTGTTCTGTCAGCAGGGCAATTCGGGATTGGTTGAACGACAGAGATTTGTGGAGTTTTGGAAACAGTAAGAGTTGATACTCTCCCTTTCTCTCTCTATTTACTCTCTTATTTTATTCCAAATTTTATTTGTCCTCTCTTTTCGTAGAATGAATGTCTATTGCCACGATGAGGCATCTCGCTTTGTCTACATTTTATCCAGAGGCCAGCGTATGCGTTCCTATATCCTGCCCGAAGATTTGGCACCTTTGGTACAAGATGTGGTGGACACACATCCGGGTTTGGCCTTTTTGAAAGAGGCCACAGAATTCCATTCCAGATATGTGCACACGGTCATAGCACGGATATTTTACAATGTAAATCGCAGCTGGTCGGGCAGAATAACTATATCCGAGCTAAAGAAATCTGATTTGTTGGAGGTGAGTTGGAGTTGTAACCTTAAAAGCAAACAAAGGAAACTAATTCGCTTTATTTCCAGGTCATTGGTCTCCTGGAGGAGGAGGACGACATCAATCAAATTATGGCCTATTTCAGTTATGAACACTTTTATGTAATCTACTGCAAATTCTGGGAGTTGGATAAGGATCACGATCTGCTCATCAATCAAGACGATTTGGCCAGGCACAGTGATCATGCCCTTTCGACCCGTATTGTGGAACGTATCTTTTCGGGTTGTGTTACACGCAGTGATAACAAAAAGAATCCCGACGATGAACCAAAAATGTCCTATTCAGATTTTGTTTGGTTCCTTCTGTCCGAAGAGGATAAACGCACACCCACCGCCATTGAGTATTGGTTCCGTTGCATGGACATCGATGGGGATGGTGTGATTTCGATGTATGAACTGGAGTATTTCTATGAGGAGCAACAGCAGCGCATGGAATCGATTGGTATTGAATCGCTGCCATTTGAGGATTGTTTGTGCCAGGTGAGTTGCGGGGAGAAGAGAAAATAAGGATAAAGAATTGAATGAATTGAATTTTACATGGCGCCCAACATTGTGCCAGATTTGATTATTCTATGAGGAGAGCAGAAGGTCATCTATGAGAAGCCTTTTCGGATCTTCTGATAAGCAAACCTTCTGACGTCTTTAGAGGAGAAGACCTTTTGGCCTCCTTTGAGAAGAATGGCGCCCAACATAGAGCCAGAGTAAAACCCTTGTGACTTTCTAAAGAAGACCTTATCATATCATCAGACCTATTCTGCGTATCTATGAGAAAATTTTCTGGCTTCCTTTTGGAAGAAGTTCTTCTGTCTTTCTCGGAGAAGAAGAAATTCAGGCCTCAGAGAAGACCTCGTAGTGTCCTAAGAGAGGACCTCCCAGCCTCGTCAGAGAAGACCTTTTGGCCTAGTCAGAGAAGGCCTTCCAGTCCCCTCTAAGAAGACCCTCTGGCACCCTCTGAGAGGCACATTCTATGAGGACCCTCTGGCACCCTCTGAGAGGAAGACCTTCCAGCTTCCACTGAAAGTAAGACTATCTGGCCTCCTCTGAGCGGAAGACCATCTGGCCACCTCTGGGAGAAAGACCATCTGGCCTCCTCTGAGAGGAAGATCATCTGGCCTCCTATTAGAGAAAGACAATCTGGCCTCCTCTGTGAGGAAGACCTTCTAGCCCACTTTAAAGGAAATCCATCTCAACTGCTCGGAGAAGATCTTCTGCCTTTCTAAAAGATAACCTTCTGGTCTTGTCAGAGAAGACTTCATCAACGAAGCCTTCTGTCCTCATCAGATAAACTCTAACCTCCTTCTCTGAGATGACCTTCTGGCCTCCTCTGAGAAGATATTCTATTAGAAGACCAAAAGTTTTCTATGAGAAAATCTTCACTGTTCTATAAGAGGATATCTTCCAGTCTTCTATGACAATACCTTCTGTGAGAAGACTTTCCAGTCTTCTGTGAGAAAACTTTCCAGTCTTCTGTGAGAAGACCTCCCAGTCTCCTATGAGAGGACCTTCCAGTCTTCTATGAGAAAACATTCCAGTCTTCTATGAGAAGACCTTCCACTCTTCTATGAGAAAACCTTCTAGTCATCTATGAGAAGACCTTCCAGGCTTCTATGAGAAGAATCTAGTCATCTATGAGAAGACCTTCCACACTTCTATGAGAAAATCTTCCAGCCTTCTATGAGAAGACCTTCCAGTCCTCTATAAGAAGACCTTCTTCTATGAGAAGACTTTCCAGTCTTCTATAAGAAGACCTTCTTCTATGAGAAGACTTTCCAGTCTTCTATGAGAAGATCTTCCTGTCTTCTATGAGAAAAACTTTCTGTCTTCTATGAGAAGACCTTCCAGTCTTTTATGAGAAGACCTTCCAGTCTGCTATGAGAAGACCTTTCAGTCTTCCATGAGAAGACCTTCCAGTTTTCTATGAAAAGTCCTTCTATAAGTTATCCTCCCGTTTTTTTTCAAAGGGAAACTTCCAGAAAAAAACAAATTTTGGTCTTTAATAAATTGATTTTCTAAGGTACTCTGTTTTTGCTGTCTCTATTTTATTTCCAGATGCTGGATATGATTAAGCCCAAGAGACGGGATGCCATAACATTGGGTGATTTGAAAAATTGCAAAATGACTCATGTGTTCTTCGATACCTTCTTTAATTTGGAGAAATATTTGGATCATGAACAGCGTGATCCATTTGCCTCGCAGAGAGATGAATATGTGAGTTTAGTAATAAATTATTAACTATATAAAACATTAATTTATTTTATATAATTATTTTTTTCTAGACATCCGATTGGGATCGTTTTGCCGCCCAGGAATATGAACTACTAATAACCGAGGAGAATGATTAAAACCTATGGAATACATCTTATTACCTTCCTTTACTCAAAAAGGGAAGCTTATTAACTAATTTATATACATATTTATTATATTATTATATATTATAAAAACAAAACACACAACTACTTTTAATACCTTTTTAAAATGAGAATATGAACAACAACTACAAGAACAAGAATATATGCTATATGTAATTTATTTTTCTTTCCTTTTGTAGTTTAAATTTAAAAATTAAAAAAAAAAACAACTTAACTTAACCTTAAATCCTTTCTATTCATAGAATTTATAGTTCAAAACTTTCCTTATAAAACTATAAAAAAAAGAAATCTCTAAAAAAATACTTACAACGAACAAAATTTTGTATTTAAATTTAATTTTTTTTTTGTAGTTTCACTAATTTTTTTTAATATTTTTTAATTGTAATGTTAATATTTATATAAACCTTAAAATCCCTATCCCTTAAAACCCCATTGAAAATTCCCCCCTAATTTTAATATTATAAATACGGCTATAAACATATATAAAAATGATAATTTTGCTCCTAATTGATAATTGAAACAAACCAAAGATTTTTATTAAAGAAATGTTAATAAAAATGAACCACATTAAAATATTAAGTAATTAATAAACGGAAAACGTTAAAGAAAAGCTGTGGTGTACAAGCAATTACTGAAAATGAGTTACTGAAATACCATCGGAGACCTTTTTTTGTGATAATTTTGGAAAACGTTGAAACGTGCGTGAGGTATTAGATATAGTGAACTGTAGTATTCCACTTAATCTAATATTGATAAAAATATTGGGATTTGCCATATTTAAATAAGGTCGAACATATACTTCCGAATACATGCAAATAATTGCTAATCAAAATTGTAACCTTTTGTAGGAGAGTTACTAATGGAATGGCCCTATGGATTCTACATTCACATTGGATCTCTGGTTGAAAGAAATATTTATTTATTAGCAAGTGTCGGCAACCTTAAAATTTTAGATTCGTTCCTGTTAGGCCTTTTTATACCTTTCACCACAGTATGGAGGGTATACTAAGTTTCTCATTCCGTTTGTAACACCTCGAAATATACATATTAGACCCCACAAATTATATATATTCTTGATTAGTACAAAAATTTAGCGATGTCCGTCCGTCTATCCGTCTGTAGAAATCACTCTAGCTTCCGAACGAAATAAGGTAGGTTGATGAAATTTTACTCAAATGTATATTATGTCTGCAGAACTTTTGGTATTGGGCCATGTAGGTCCACGTTTTGGCATAGCCCTCATATAATGGTACCTTCCTTTTTTCGGTATTTTGGTGATATAAGCACATTATTTACCGGAAATGTTTCAAATTTAATATTTGAAGTTCCTAAAGGATAGATAGACAAAAAATTGTCTGTGCACGTCCACGTCTTCGTATAACTCCCATATGACGGTACCTCCCAATATTCGCTATTTTGATGATTTAAGCGACATTAGTCACCGGAATTGTTTTAAATTTGGTATTTGAAGTTCGTAATAGATAATACAGCCTATGACAGAAAACTGTCCGTGAGGGTATACGCCTTTGTATAGCCCCCATATAACGGCACCTCCCGAAATTCGGTATTTTGGTGATTTTAGCGACATTATTCAACGGAATTGTTTCAAATTTGGTATTTGAATTTCGTAATAGATACTACAGCATATGACAGAAAATTGTCCGTGAGGGTATACGCCTTCGTATAGCCCCCATATAACAGCACCTCCCGAAATTCGGTATTTTGATGATTTTAACGACATTCTTCACCGATTTTTTCAAGTTTGGTTAATATAACAGCTACACTTGGTATTTTTAAGATTTTAAAAGAATTTTTAACGGATTTTATTTTTTTTTTGAAAATTGCAAAATTCGTTTATGGAGGGTATTCAAAGTTCGGCCTTAAATCTTTTGTTAGAGTTTGACAAAAAATTTTTAATCAAAGTTTCATTTTATATGTTGTTCAACTTTTTCCTGTTTCGAAAATAATTATAGGAAATGGTTTATATTTTACACCAACAAGTCTACATATCGTCATCTTAGACACCAACTGTTATCCAAAATTAGTATCATTTACAGTACGCAATTTCAATCTCAATTCCTGTTACCAACACACATCTCAATATCAATTTTGAGGATCTCAGACCTATCTCAACACGAGATACCAACGGAGACATATATATCATATTTTGGCATTCATATAGTACCACTCAATATTTTCGTTTTACAATCCACTAACAAATCTCAAACTCAGGTACCATCAGTAATCTATACAACAATATAATCTATGTAACAATTTCATCTCTATTCCTTCACCCAATACCCAATTTAGTACCACTTTTCAAATATTTATAGTACACATTTCCTAAAACCACCTTCATATTTCAGTTCCAGATAACAACCTACATCATATAATCCAATAGAAATCTTATTTCCAAATTTTAGCATTTCGACTCTGCCGGTTCTTCCAACTTTTATATTTAGTATAATACAAGTACGTACTTCTGAGACTTTCCTCAATACCTCTTTGGTACACCATCATGCACTGACCTTATTCCAAATTTAAGAGTTCTAGCTGTACTGATACAAAGGGTACCACATTAAGTTCTTTTCGTACAGTTCTAGTTCGAATTTTCAAAAACCCAGTCCTATCTGACACCTTCGGACTTAGAGTAACCATTACCCAAAATTTCAAATTCTAGCTTCAGCCATTTTGTTTGGACATTGATGAATCGTTAGGTCAGTCAGCCAATTACTTTACTCTCCATCCATCTTTACATGATGGAGTAGACCGTTATTGTCTAGTTTCCCACCTGACGTAGCACTGATGGAAATATTAGGATTTGTAAATTTGGAGGAAAATCGGATTATCCTTTCTCCTTCTTTGCAGTAAAATAATTTTTTGTACATTTCGAACTTTTATGGCGGAGGTATCCGAAGTGTTGAACCGATATTGCCCATCTCCAAAATCGATCTCGATTTGATTGTAATATTACGATGTACCGATATTGTATCAAATCGGATACTCCCTTCGAGAGTTATCGTGCTCACTAGCCAGCCAGACAGATGGATGGATGGACATCGCTAGATCGACTCCAAATGTCCTGAAACGGATTTGGGCCAAAGAGCGTTAGTGTCTAAAACCGTTATTTCGATGAGGCACTTTTTGGGCGTATCAAATGATATGAATGATATCCGTAAAGCTTCTGATTCCGACCACTACGGATAATCGCGGCCCGACTCTATACATGATTGGAGACTATTGGTCTTGTGTAAACACCATTTAAGCCATCAAAGCAACGAATCAAGTTATTTCACCACATGTGTTGTCTTAAAAGTATATGACGCCTGAAAGTATGCTTTCGTTTTATAAAATTAAGCTTGACCGCAGTAACAAAAAGTTTTTGATTTACTGCAATAAAAATTGGTTATTTTTTAAAATTTTGTGTTTTTTAAAAAAAAAAAAAAAAAACCCTTCTCTAAATTCCTATCGTCGCCCTAGCCATCTCCTCTTCTGCTTCGCTCTAGCATGTCTAAGTCAAAGTCAATGCGTGTAGAGAATTGACGGCAGATAATCCGTCTTTGAACCACTTAAATTGAGACGTTTGCATGAAATGGTCGAGAAAACGATTACATCGTCTGATTACAACAAAATCCGGTGCCTAAATACCAATCGTTTAAACTGCAAATATCCCCTTCGTCTTTATAAAGTTTGTTTAATTGGCAAATTACTTTGGGATGTATTAAGTAATTAATTCAATCGCTTACTATCTACTGACGTGTTAAATTGGTGACGGATAGTGATTACAAACAATGTAATAGAGGCTCTGGGGACTTTTATTCTATTTTCGCATTGCATTTGCAATTAGGTGGCAATTTATAACTGGGGTTCTTTATTTCACTGGAAGTTAGATGGCTATAAGAGAAGGTTCTTAAGCGATGGCATAAATAATAAATCGTTGATTCATAAGAACATCCTATTACTTTGGCAAATTATTACCAAAGTAATGGGACAAGGGATTTGGAAACTTTTGGGAATTACTATTAGGAATCTTCCTTTGGAAGTATGTAATTTTCCTGATTTCACGGCATTACCAAGGTAATACTTTGCACCTATCATCGACTGCCTTACGTCGCCATATTTCCCTTAACATAATAAAACATTTACCTATTTTTTGTTGTTTTTCCCCCCTCCAAAAAAAAAAGATGAATAAGAACGGAAAATAGAACCGTTGACAGACCTTTGTCAGCAATGTAGGCCTATGTCATCGTTAAATACCCGTAAACCTTAAACAGTATTCGTTTAACTGCTTATGTCTGCGATTACATGGACAGGGCTTGGTATTCTGCCAGTGGCTCGGTTGGTTGGTCAGTCATTTTTCTTTTGTGTGAAGAATGTTTCTTCGTCCGGAGAAACCTTTGAAATGTGATGAAAGATAAATGCATCATAGCCGAGGGTAGGGTAAAGAAATACAAGATAAATTAAGACATAATCCTATTGGGCAAATGCAACACTGAACATAATTACAAGTCGAAATAATATCACATGAAATATTTTATAGAAAAAAATATATTTCATTTCATATTTGCATTGAACATGAATTTTGCCCTTGGAGTATTGAAATTGGTTAGTTTTCGGAAATGGACATTATCCTTTAACGATAGGGCTATATGCTAAAAGTGGCGCCCAACATTGAAATTCTATTTACATTCAAATTTTAACTTATTTGTTTTTAATTTACAATTTCTCACATTTTTCATGCGCCCCCCCTTTAATTGCCTTGAGGAGGTTACAAATATTTTAATGCAAACTATAACAATTCATACAATTGTTATACATGCTTATATACATATGTTATGTTGCATGTCATCAGTATAGAGTTCAAGACATTATTAATGAATAATATGAGAAAAATGGGATTTCATAACAAGATTTTTTTTTGTTTATAGAAATCACAAATTATCCTATGGGGAGAATAACAAAGTCTTCTATAAAGAGACTAATTTTTGTAGACACACGAGGTTTCAGAAGAAGGTTCCAGTGGTTCTTCGAACGACTGGGATTATAAATCTTTAGGGATAATTTGTTTTCATGGGATACAGAA